GGGTTTCCAAGGGAACACTTTCACGTGGTGTAATTGAAGAAAACATGATCAAATCAGTGAGAGATTGGATCTTTTTTTAGGCAATGAGGCGTTTAGGGATCTTTGGGCAGAGTTAAGAGTAGTTCATCAGGATTGGGCCAGGTATGATCACAGGCCCATAATGATATCTTTGTTTGAAATGAGCTCTAGACCTATTCGTCGAACGAGGGATTTCAAATTTGAAGAAGCCTGGACCAGTGATAGTATATGCAGGGAGATTATTTATGAGGCAGGTGGTTGGGAGGAGCCTTAGGATACTGATAGATTGGAGGTTTGTTTAAAAAAGTGTGCGATGGCCCTGAATGGGTGGGGACGAAATTTCAACAAAGAAGTATAAAACCAGACTTCCAAGCTTCGCTCTTCCATTGCTCAAATTTATTATAGGCCTCCTCCTTGGGACTTTGAGCTTATCGGTAAAAAGGAGAGGGACCTAGATGTTCTTCTGGAAAAGGAGAAAATGTACTGGAAGCAGAGGTCGAGAGAAAATTGGTTAAAATTAAGGGATATGAACACTAAATGGTTCCACAATAGGGCTTTCATTCGTAGACAGAAAAATCATATCCGTGGTGTGGAAATTGAAGATAATAGTTGGTCGGAGGACATAGCAGTGGTGGAGCATAGGTTTATTTCGTATTCCAGGATATCTTTACATCATCTGGGCCTATAGAAGATGCTATAAATAGAGTGATTCAAAATACTCCCTGCTCAGTGACTAAAGACATGAATAGAAAGTTGTTAGCTCTTTTTTAGAGTCTTGAAATTGAGCAGGCTCGACCCTTTTTTATCAGTGCTATTGGGCGACTGTGGGGGGTAAAACAGTGGCGAATTGTCTTGACATCCTGAACGGGTGGTGTTCTGTAAGGGATTGGAATTCTACCCTTATTGCTCTTATTCCAAAAACTAAAGCTCTTAGGCGAGTGTCAGACTATAGGCCAATTAGCCTTTGCAACGTCTCTTATAAAACTATCACTAAGGTAATTGCAAACAGATTGAAAAATGTTCTCAATAACTTAATCTCAGAGACTCAATCTGCTTTTATCCCTGGAAGAGTCATTTCAGATACTATTGTGGTTGGGCATGAATGTATTCATGCTATGAAAAAGAAGCGTAAGGGTGTAGGAGGGATGACAGCGTTAAAGTTAGATATGAGCAAGGCATACGATCATGGGTGTTTCTAGAGAAACTAATGAGGAAAATGGGTTTTGAGAAATGGTGGGTAGATCTTGTTACGGACTGTATTACTACACATACTTTCTCTATCCTGATCAACGGGGAAGCAAAGGGTAATATTATTCCTCGGAGAGGTCTAAGGTAAGGGGACCCCTTATCCCCTTATCTTTTTATTATCTGTGTAGAGGGGCTGTCAGCCAATATTCAAAGGGCACAAGATYTTAATGAAATCTCAGGTATCTCTTTATCCTCATCATGTCCAGCCATATCTCATTTGTTTCGCAGATGATAGCCTTATTTTCTGCAAGGCATCAATTCCTGAAATATATGTTGTAAAGAGAACTCTGCTCGACTATGAGAAAGCCTCTGTTCAGAAGATCAATTTTGATAAATCGGTTCTCTGGTTCTCTYCTAATGTGAAGATGAAGTTCAGGAAGTATGTGCAATCTATCATGGGGATGTCCTTAGTCTCTTCGTTGGGGAACTATCTTGGAATTCCGTCGAGCCTTTCAAGAAGCAAGGATAGAGATTTTGCAAGGATTAAAGACAAGCTGTGGAAGGTGGTCCAAGGTTGGAAAGCAAACTTGTTTTCGGTGGGTGGAAAAGAGGTGCTCATCAAAAGTGTGACGCAAGCTATTCCTACATATGTCATGAGCTATTTCAAATTGCCCTCTTCTTTTTGTTYAGAGCTCTCAAAGATCATAGCTTGTTTTTGGTGGGGCACCACTGAAACGAGGAAACGGATCCATTGGGTGAGTTGGGATAGAATATGTTGGCCAAAGGAGTTGGGAGGTCTTAATTTTCGGGATCTTGAATTGTTTAATAAGGCCCTTTTAGCTAAGCAATTGTTGCGATATATTCAGTCCCCGAATCTCTTGGCGGCAAGAGTAATTCATGGTATTTATGCTCCGGAGACTTCTCTGTTGGAGGCAGGTGGTGGCTCTAATTCGTCATATTTTTGGTAGGGCCTAGTTTAGAGTAGGGAGTTGCTTTTAGGGGGCCTGAGGAAGGTCGTGGGCTCGGGAGCTTCTATAGATCTTTTTTAGGACCCTTGGATCCCTAGGGAATCGACTTTTAGGATTTTTTCGAGAAGCTCAGATCCGGAGTGCAAGCCTAGAGTAAATGAGTTTATAACTCCCAATTATCAATGGGATATTGCAAAGTTAAGACAATTTGTGTGTGAAGAAGATGTGAAATTTATTCTAAATATCCCTAACAGTATGTCTTGTACTATAGGTAGGTGGGCTTGACATTACACAAAAAATGGCATCTACACGGTTAAAAGTATAAGTGGGCTATTAACCAAAGAATTTTTTTTGAATCTACAAGCAGCAACAATAATCAAGAATGGTGGAAGTCTTTTTCGAGGATTGATGTGCCTTCGACAATCAAATTGTTTTTATGAAAAGCATGACTCAACGCTATTCCAGTAATGACAAATCTTCAAAGGAAAGGGTTAGAGGTGGTACCTTTTTGACCAGTTTGTTCGAAGAAAGAAGAGACGGTGGATCACAATCTGGTAAGGTGCACCAGAGCCTGCCAGATGTGGAATATCTTGTTTCCGAACAAGGTCTGTGAGGATCGTTTCAACAACAGCTTCATAGACAGATGGTTGGAGTGGATGCACAAGTTCTCTAAAGCGGAAATTTCCATGGCAAGCATTACTTGTTGGGCCATCTGGAACGACAGAAATGCTTTAATCCATAAAAAAAGAGTTATTGATTGTGCAGTGAGGGTTTCTTGGATTCAGAATTATGCTGAAGAAACAAGGGTGAAAGATCGAGAGAATTTGGATGTTCAGAGCAATAGGTTACCTCGAATAAACTCCTAGAGCCCTCCTCCTCGAGGGGTGATAAAGATTAACATTGATGGCACTTGTATGTTGAACAAATCCAGAATTGGGGTGCTCGTTTGGGATGAAAAGCTGATATTGTTGCTGCCATGGTTGATGTTCTTCCAAAGATGAGCCCTCAACTAGTCGAAATTGCTGCGATTAGGGAAGGTTTGAAGATTGCAGTGCGATTAGGGCTCTCGAAGGTGATTATCGAGACGGACTCCCTGAGCTCCATTGCTCTTATTCGCGAGGGATCCCTTGTGCAAAATGAAATTTCGAACTGGCTAGAAGATATTCGTATGCTATCATAAAATTTCTCGGTGATCACCTTTCACCATATTTTCCCGGAGTCGAACTCAACAACCCATTGTCTGGCTAAGGAGAGTCTCAAGTTGGAGAGATCTCTTGTGTGGCTTTCAATGTTTCCTGCTTTTTTTGTGTCGGTGTGTTGAAACTGACTTTCACAACTTTGTAGCCTTAAGGGCAAACTGATTTCATTAATACATCTTTCCTTTCTCAAAAAAAAAAAATAATAATAATAATAATAAATAATTACTCTATCAATTTAGACACCCTAGCACATGCTTGATTATAAGATACACCTATATGATAAATATAAAATATATCTGGTTGTCGAGTTCTTATAACTACCCACTTGGTACTTCTTTGTAGATATAAACTATATTCGCATATAAAAAAATAAGTATCAAATTCACTCCTAAATTTTGCACCACTCAAATTATATTATCGATTCTTTGACAATATGGACTCCAAAAAAACTGAACTGCTCGATGATGATAACTAATTAAACTAGATATTACAAAAAATTGTTCATCTAAAGGTAACTAGTTAAACTAGATATAAACTATATCTGCATATAAAAAAAAGTTAAACAGTACAAAACTAGTTCATCTAAAAGAATGAGGTTTCGAAGGGAGCATTGTTCAAAACTGAAATAGAAAACTTTACAGAAATTGGTTTAAACAGTACAAAACTAGTTCATCTAAAGGAATGGATACCAACTTAAAGATATATGGGTATGGAAAATATATCATGGTGAGAAGAAGATGAAACAAACCTCAACTTTCGAATGGTGAGAAGCTTGATGGGCGACCGGTGACAAGAACGGAGTAAAATGTCTACTACGGGATAAACGGGGTAAATGGGGTAGAATGAAGAACCTTGATGCGACGACCTGATACCGACGAGAGAACGAAGTAAATGGTTGGAAAAAATGGTGTTTGGAGAAGACGAAGAAACGGGCAGAAGAAGAAATGAGTAGATGAAGGAGACGAATAAGATTTTGGGATTTGGGTAGGATTATTTGGGTATTTTTATTTTTGAAAAGTGTAAATAGACATAAATTAACAGATTTGAAATCTAACCTCCAAAAGCAACCATTTTTAATTTCAATAATTTATTAATATTTAGGTGTAAATAAAGAATGATATATTAGTAAATTGTTCATGGGTACCATCTTAAAGGATATTATGTTACGACAAAAGGATAAATTTTATAGATTGAATTCTTTTATATAATTATAATCTCTAGAAAAACCTATCAATATAAGTATAGCATTTCAGCAAGTGTAGTAGTTGAGCCCAAAGTCCATCGAGCCCAAACTCACATACAACTCATGAAAGACTTTATAAATAGGTAGGGTCACCCCTTTAGAAACCATGACATTCCTAACAAAATTTTTAACATTACAAATCATTACACAATATTAAAGACTACAACTTTTAAACTAAAATGACACAATCATTACAAGTAATTTGCAAAGTAAATTTTTGCTTCAATAAAATTTTAATCATTTTTGAAATATATGAGAGAAAAAATATTGAATTAAAAATCTTGAAAATCAGTCAAATTTGACCAAGGCCAAAGCATAGTTGTACTTTTACCAAAAATTTTCCTAAAAAAGAAAATTTAAATGGAAAAAGAGAGAGAACGAAAACGTGGAGCTCTTTACCAATCAGTACCAACCAAATCCAGAAGCCATTACTGCTCCGAGCTCGACAATTTCCAGAGCCGTTTTCTTTCATTTGTCCTTTTACGTTTCCAGAACTCAGCCAAAATCTTCTTACAGTTCAGTAGAGAGAAATCGGGTATCTGGGTTTCTTCCGAAGAGAATCGGAGAAGACAGCAATGGCGCGCCGGGGAATGATGCTGCCTTCTTTGCTGTTGCTGCTCACCTTCTTGGCCATGGATCTTGTGCCCCCGAGCCACGCTATCTGGCTCAACCTTCCTTCTTCAGGAACCAAGTGCGTCTCTGAGGAAATCCAAAGCAACGTCGTTGTTTTGGCTGATTACGTTGTCATCTCTGAGAATTACACCCATTCGCCCACCATTTCCGTCAAGGTTACTTTTCTGCACTGGATCGCTCAACTCTAGGGTTTTTTCTTTCGATGGATTTTTGCTTTCTTTCTGATTTTGTCCGGCTGCTTGAAGAAAGACGGCGATGAAATGATTTAAAAGGAAATTTTGATTGGATTCTCAAATTTTTACTCGGCGTTGACTTCGATTCTCTTCAGACTATTAGTTTATTTCTGCTGAAATTGACTTTATTCTTGTGAGGGTTATGCTATAGTGTTGTATTATGCTCGAAATATGGCGGAAAATGAATGATATTGGTGGGTGTTAGGTGCTGTGAATTGTGAAAAATATCCACATTTACATCAAGGACACTGGGATTGTTTTAACTAGGCATTTTTGGTACCTGTTGGGTTCCCACTCGTTTGAGGTTTCCTTATTGTGATATATCTGATTTTCTGGGGACTTGGACTTCTATCCAACTCGCATGTTTCTCTTTATTAGAAGAATCACTAGTTTCATTTACTATTACAATGATCGCAATGTACTTGCTTTAACTTTTGTTTGATTACCGACTGTTTCGTATTAATCTTGAATGATTGTGAAGGAAATATTAAAAGCATAATAAGTTAGATTTTTTGTCTACTGAAGCTGAAATAGTTTAAGGATGTCTTGATCTATTTCTTTGTATCTTTGGTAATAAATTCAATTTGCAAAATTTTCCTCTCTTAGGTGACATCACCATATTGAATGATTGTGAAGGAAATATTAAAAGCATAATAAGTTAGATTTTTTATCTGCTGAAGCTGAAATAGTTTAAGGATGTCTTGATCTATTTCTTTGTATCTTTGGTAATAAATTCAATTTGCAAAATTTTCCTCTCTTAGGTGACATCACCATATGGAAACAATCTCCACCAAAAGGAGAAACAAACAAGTGGGCAGTTTGCATTCACTACAGCAGAGGGTGGCAACCATCTGGCGTGCTTTTGGATTGATGGCAATCATGAGGGTGGTGGAGATGTAAGCCTAAATCTTGACTGGAGAACTGGAATTTCAGCAAAGGATTGGGAATCAGTAGCAAGAAAGGAAAAGATTGAGGTATGCTTTCTTCTTAAGTTGATGCATACAATTTCATTATAAGTGGCCAATGGACAACGAGTTGCGTTTTGATGGATGGTTGAAAATAGTATTTATTTTGAGATTTCTCAATTAATGCTAGAAAACCACTGAAGTATATTAATATTTCTCTGCACGTAAATCCAATTGTAACACATGGTTTATATATGTCCCAAGTCTCTCGGTCTTTCAGATAATAGAACTGACATGGCTAAAATGCTAGGTTAAGATGGTGAACCTGCTGATTATGCACCTCAGCTATGATATTTTCGCTGAAACTGTTACACACACATATGGCTGTTAAAAGGGAAAATGACAGAATTTCGTGGTTGAAATTTGGTCTTAAGCTGAAGTTCCAAATCACGTAGAATGACGTTAATAACTATAGAAATCACAAATGTGTGGACTAAAGCTGGAAAATTTTGGGTTTTGTTGAGGCTTTCCTTTCCCTTTATTTTTATTTTTATTTTTTTATTTTTTAATTTCATTTATCAATGAAATATTTGTTTCTCAAAAAAAAAAAAGAAGAAAAAAAGAAGAAGAAGAAGAAGAAGCAAAAGAGAGAACAAAAATAGCTTGCTCATGATTTCCACCCTTTCCATTTTCTAGAGTCATTTTTTGACTGGTCTAATTTTATTTTATCCATTTACTGTGTAATTAAAAATGTTTTTGGTTGCTTGGTTTTAAGATAATATAGGGGTTTCATTTAAATGGTTTTGAGCTCAGTCTGACTTTAGTTGCTACTATGATGTCTAATGACAAATAAGCAGACAAGTTTTGAGCTGAATTGATAGGGTGGTGCTGGTGCACTTTGATGCAATAGCTCTTTGGGGATTTTGCAAAAGGTGTGGAAAAAGGAAACCCTTAGTAATCAAATTAAATTTATACATGATAGTGCGATCAAGTTACATCCTGGTGTAAATGCATCATTATAGCTTTTCTAATCTTTTATCCTATTGGAGACTTATTTTGTAACTCCATTGGATGAGAATTTCTTTCTCCTTTTGTTATTTCATCCCATCAATACAATTGTTTTTTATCCAAGAAAAAAAAATCGCGATGAAGTTAAGATTTAACAACTACTGGAACTTGTTTCCATTAAAATTGATAAAACTTTAGAAAAACTTGACTTTTTGAGGTATGGAACGGTTAGGAATTAGGTTTATTGTTTCTTTCTTTACATATAAAAATATTATATATATATAAAATGAGAAACAAAAAAAAACATTAAAATATGTAAAAGGGCAAACAAAAAGATAGCCCAACGAGAGGAGCCAAGCCAAGAATAACTATGCAGATATAAGGGCTCAAATTCAAGAAAACAAGGCCTAATGATTGATTACAAAAATACCTTGGAAACTGACACCCAACAATGAAGCATTAAACCTAACAAGAGCAAACATCTTTCCAAGACCTCTCAACTCCTATAAAATGACAAAAAAGCGATAAAACATCTTTCCAAGACCTGTCAACTTCGTTTTTTTCTATAATCGGGGTTGGAGCTTTGCTCCCCTATACCCAGGGGTACCTACGCCCGCTCCAAGGCTCGGACCTGGGAGCCATGAAGGGTTTTTGTTATTAAGCTCACCAAAAGGTTCGAATCTGAGATCTCTGAGCCAGCATGACCAAGAGATCCAAGTCCTTGCAACTGGGCGGCTCCTTGGGGGCAAGACCTCTCAACTCCATAAAACAGCAAAAAAGCTAGTGTGGCAAGGGATTTGCCCCTTATAACGAAACAATAGGAACAAAACCTCTTGCATCAGAGAACAAAAATCTTTATTATGAGCCAAACAAACCTCAAATCACTCCAAAATGCTATCCTAAAACAAACGAGCAACCAAATAATTCCAAAGGACATGATAAAGATCCTCGAATGCACTCTTGAAATGAATACGTCATTGCAACCCCAACAAGAAGGGTGGATGGCTTTGAATACGGTCTAAAGTGTCAACCGTCCCACTCCCCAGCAAACCTGCCAATGAAAGAATTTGACCTCTAGGATTTTATCCTCTGGAGGGAAGCTAGGGAAGTGGGATCCCTCAAGACAACAAAGAGATCTACAAGAAAACCCCTAAGAAGAATTGGGAGCCCAATAATGAATATAATTTTTCCTTGGGTTAATCCCTAAGATTATATTCTTCGGGTGGCAAGTTTTACTTGGGAAAGTCAATACTTTAGATCGTATCCAAAGGATGTCTTCCTTTTGTTTGGGCCCGTAGTGGTGCGTTCTCTATAGGAATGCCTCTGAAGATTTGGAGCACTTGTTATGGAGTTGTCAGTTTGCTAGGATGTTTGACTCCGTTTCTTTGATTGCTTTGGCTTGTCTTGGACCCGTTCCAGAGATTGTAGGGGGATGATGGAGGAGGTGCTGTTACACCTCTCTTTTCGTGACAGGGGTCGTTTTCTGTGGCAGGCTTGTTTTCTGGCTGCTATTTGGGGGATTTGGTTAGAGAGAAGTAATAGGCTGTTTAGGGAGGTGGAGAAATCTGTTGATTATGTTTGGGATCTCATTAGATTTAATACTTCTTTATGGGGCTCTATTTCTAAGGCCTTTTGTAATTATCCGTTAGGTCTCATTCTTTTGGATTGGAGTCCGTTTCTGTAAGGGACTCCTCTCGGGGTTGGTTTCTTTGTAGGCCGATTTGGTTTCTTTTGTTTCTCTTTTCATTCTTCTCAATGAAGGTATTGTTTCTTATAAAAAAAAATGAATATAATTTTTCCTTGGGTTAATCGAAAAATCACCTAATAGAGAAAAAGAAGCACTATTGCCTTTGATAGACAGCAATAGCCAAGACAGAACAAGGAAGAAACGGGCAAGAGATACCCAAAGAAGGCAACAAAGGAAGCCACAAAGTGGAACTTCATAGAACACAAATGGTACAATCGAGGGGAGGGGGGTATATAGGGGACTATAGTCTTCTTTTTAAATGTTGGAAGTAAAGATTTTGTTCTTGTTCAACTCCAACTTAATCTCCCTCCCCGAGGTGCAATTACAACATGGAATGGAACACTAACCTCCCTCGATGTTTATTTGTTCCTGTCTTTAAGTGAACCATTCCTCTCTTCCACCCTTTGTGCCATCTCCATGTTTTGTCTCAGTCCAATCGGATTAAAAATTCAAACATTGACCTGTATTTCTACTCTGAACTATTAAAACTACTGTCCAAGACTTCCTTTTATATATCAGGCAAAGTCATGACAAGGATTTCAAAAAGCTTCTGACATTCCCTCTGGCCTCATGCTGCCTTCTTGACATAGAACCAACTACTTTTCACGTTAGGTCCTTGTGAAGACAAAATCGAGATAGTAGTAGAGCAGAGAGCTTTGAATCTGTCAAGCTTTTTGTTGGTCTTTGACAATTGGTTCATTAGAACTCTTTTATAAAAGTCTCAAAGATTGGTTTTTCATCACCAAAACTAAATAAATAAATAAACATCAAGGCCCCTGCTTCCAAATTACTGATCAACATTTCAAGTTTTTTTTTTCCCTTGGAAATCTAATTTAATGAAAATAATCGATCCACTTGAAAATTTCTTTGAATATAGGTAGTTCTAGCTTTCACGCCATATTTTCCCATTGAGCTTTGACCATAGGTGGCTCTCCGTATTTCGAAGCTACAACTTGTTCTACCGTGCATTTTCCCTCCTCTTCTTTTCTTATTGCAACTCAGTATCTGACTTCTTCAGATTTCCCATGAGCTAATAGAATTTCCAGGATCATCTCCACATTCTTCTCCAATGAATAAATCCTCTGAACAACATTCTAAAGGGAACATATTTTTATTTTTGGTTAACATTGGGAAACAAGATGTCATAAAAGTAATGAAATGTAAAAAAAACCTTGATGTCTCCCAGGTTCGGGTCTTAGTGCTGGTGCGGTGCCCCTGGGTATAGGGGAGCAAAGCTCTGACTACCGAAAATATGAAACAAACCTTGATGTCTCCTAGGTCCAGGCCTTAGGGCGGGTGCAGGTGCCCCTAGGTATAGGGGAGCAAAGCTTCGACTCCCAGTTCGTTTTAAAAAAATGAAGTGTGAAACGAAAAGAAGGAAAGCCTTCCAACGACCAAGGCTTCCCTCCAATTAGCACATATATCATTAAGGAAGAAATTACAAAAAGTATTGTTTGGCTTGCACCAAGAGGCAGCATTTGTAAAGAATAAGATAAAAGTAAATAAGTATAGTCCCTTTCCTTTCTACTCCATGTGATCCAAAGAAAGCATTGGATGAGATTGAGCCAAAGAACTTTACCCTTCCTTTTAAAGCGATGAGACAGCCTACGGATATATTGCTGTGTAGGGACCAAGAACCAGCAAAAAGGTTCAAAGATGAGGTTCCAATTCAAAGATGAAAACAGACAGCAGACAAAAAGATGGTCTTGAGCAGTGTTTTCAAAGTGGATCGATTCTTTTCATGGAATCAAAGTGGTTGTATCGATCAACTAACCCCCAATCGTGTATAGAAACTAGAAAGGCCATACTTAGCTGCTATGGTTCTTTAGTTGGGCATTTGATAGATAGACAAGTTTCGTGTAATTGCAGTGGGTGGTTTGTTTTTTTTATTAAATTTGGTTCGATGCTTTTTTATGTTTCGAAACAAGATCTCCTAGTAGAAGTATTTAAAAGGGTTAGCCGTCTTCTGTTATAAATATTTGGAGATCTCATCTTGCTGAAAGTCTAGAGGAGTTGGTAAGTTCTTCATGCAATAGTACCTCAACAAATAAGAAATTCTGACGTTGTAAAAGATTCAACTTTTATGGTATTTGAAGAATCTGAATTTTCTCTGAAAACTGTGATCGGTTTCAAAAGGCCCAGAAGATTGGTACGGCTGATTTCATGAAGCTGCCAGATTTTTTTCTTTTGATAAGAAACATTTTTAATTTTGGGAGTCCAATTTTATCACTTAAGAAAGTTTAAGGGTTTAATTTTTACTATTGAAAGTTTAGGGGTCTAATTTTTTTCATTTATCAAAGTTTGGAGGTTTAATTTTTACGATTAAAGTTTAGGAGTGCAATTGTACCAACTACCATACTTGAGGAGTAGGAGTGATTTGTAAGATTTGACCCCTAAAGAAAAATACAAAAGATCAAAGAGTCACACGAAYGCTCTCCATTGGTCAGTAAAGTTGAAAAAGTGTAATTGCAAAAGGAATTAGCTTTTAAGGGTGGCCATCAGGATGAAATGTTATCCCAAAGCACTTTTTAAATCGCGTAACATTCTACCCAGTTTTACCATTGAAACTTCTCGTATATTTCTGCATTTCTATATATTTCCTTCACCTATGGCCATTTAGAGCCCGTATTTATTTCCTCGCCATCGGTAACTGCAGGGTGTCGAGCTTGAGCTCCGAAAACTCGAAGGGGCAGTGGAGGCCATTCACGAGAATTTACTGTATCTGAAGAGCAGGTAATCTATCTAACCATTGCAAAAAACTATTCAAGTTCTATTTTCTCCATTAAACATCTTTAGTAGCCATTTGAAATGTTATATTTCAACCACAGAGAAGCAGACATGAGGATGGTGAGTGAAAAAACAAATGGAAGAGTGGCGTGGTTCAGCATAATGTCTTTGGGTGTTTGTATTTTGGCTTCAGCACTTCAACTGTGGTACTTGAAGCGATTCTTCCAGAAAAAGAAGCTCATTTAAAAGCAGTAATCTTCTTCTCTAGTTTAGCGCATTTCTTTTCTTACACCAAGTATAAAGGCATGGTACTAAATTGTAGACTATAAGTATAAACCGTCTAAAACAATTCATCACAGAAATGTTTAATCATCATGGATTCTCTTTTAAATTCATTATCTTCTGGTTTTCCTCGATTAGAAGTTTTGCAATAGATGAGTATTTCCACAATAGTTGTAATTTTGTAGAGTAAGATATCATTTTAGGGTCCATTCGTTTGTACGTGTTTGAAACGTGTTGTTTTTAAGCAGGGGTTAGGTTGGCTTGACTCGATTTTAGAAAACACATGTAAATAAATGGATCCCATCTCTAAGAATGTAAATGCTCAAGGACAACCGATCCTCGAAGTCCCTCGATCATGCATGGAGGATACTCCACTCCATACCCATCAAATATGAGTTGTGGTTAAAGAGATTGCTAATGTAGAAATTTTCATTCAGGTTTTCTTATTCCTTTAAACTTCTACTTGCATTCTTCCCAAATCTATTTCTATCTCTATATAATAAACCAATGGGTGGACCACGTTAAAGAATAGGAGTTGTAAAAACTTACAAAGTTGTTATAATCAATTCACAAAATTTTAAAAACTATTACGGTTATCAATATGTTAGTGGTAGACGTCTTTTTATTTTTTATTTTTTTTGGGATAAGTGATAGACGTCTTCAATGATGAACTATATCAGTTAGTGACGACGAATAGATGTTTCGAAGCTATTTTAGTTTTTTCCGTGAGTGAGTTTGAGTTGGGCCATTTCTTTGGTGCTCTATTTACAAATCCATTAATTTACAATTAATTGAGGATTTTTTTTTTTCCTCTCTCTCTGGCATATATGCAAGTGCCCATTAATTTCAAAGTACTATGTTTTATTTGGAGAAAGTTGAGAACAAAAGATACTATAAAACTTGCAYTCCATGTCAAGAGAGGACCATAGAACATAATTTCCTATACCTATTATAKCAAATTCTCAATGTCTTGGGGTGTATTTGGTTCGTGATCAGAAAATAGAGATTTAGAAACAAGGGATTCAATGAAAAAATCTGAGTTGTAATATATGTTTTTAGTATTTTCAGATATGTATTTGGTAGTAGATTTAAAAATTAAATCTTAATTGAAAAAATTATTTAAGGTAGTTAGTCATGTATAGTTACCAATTAAATATTTAGTTCAATATAAAATATTATTAATTAATTTATTAACATATATATTATAAATTTTTTAGACTTATTATTTTACGATATTATATAATTTATAATACATTATATTTGACCTGTTTTAATTTTAGCAAAAATAAAATGAATTTATAATATGAAATATATGTAAAATTGAGAACAAAAATAATGTACTATTGAAGCAAGAACAAAATAATATTAAAGAAGGGATGCAAGGAAAAAATTGAGAGAAGGCATATACAACTTGATTTTCCTTCCTTTGCCTTTTAATTAATTAATTTATTTTTCTTTTTCCAACAAAGAGTTTTACCGTTTTATAGTCAAACTAAGTTTGGGCACCAAGGTTTCTTGGACACCAAGTTTTATAAYGGGCAATAAAATGCTGTTTATAATACTCTTTAATGCCCATTATTTATATGATGTATGCCTCATTAATGCTTTTTTTTTAAACAAAGAAACATTACATTAAATTGAAATAATACCACTAAGGGTTACATTTGAAGAGTGGTGACAACACACATCACAATCACAATCTACGAAGGAAAACAATTGTCCCAAAGGACATAGAAATGATAAAAAATGGCGTACTTGGCCAATAAAACAACCTGCCTATTCAAAGAACTAGAAATATGAACAAAATTTAGCCCACTGAACACATTCTCAAAAGTSGTCGGGGGGAGAATCCTCAATTAATTGAGGTAYCTTGTCAATTAAGGCATCCCTATTCACACTTGGAAGGGAAATAATTACCTCMAAAGATTCCTTATTCTCCACTATGACAGGTAAGGAAGGATTAAGCAAATTCCATAAATCATACTAGTTACAAATCTTAATACAATTAAGACTAATAGTCTCCCCAGATTCCAAAACGATGTTTGAACCGATTGCTGCTGCACCTTCRTCATTGCCCATCTGATGCTCTGTCTTCCTTGTCCTTGGACCATGGAAGTTCTCTGAACCAAGATGAAACGAAGATGAAGAGTCATTGCAAGAGATCGTAGGTGGATGTCCTCTCCAATTCTGTGCCTGATAACTCTTCAAAATGCCCAAATGACTAAGCCACAGACCTTTGTAAAATCCTAGTGAAATAAAAAGACTACATATTTTATATAATCTAATAAATCTAAAAGACTACGATATATTCGCTCCCCTCATGGAAACATCACTTAAGATCTTTGAGTCGCTGCATTGCATTCCAATGTTAGTGCACAAATTTTTCAAATGTTGCAGTAGGTAAGGCATTTGTAAATAAGTCTGCTAGGTTATCCTTCGAGGAAATTTATTGTGTAGTGATGTTGTCATTTTCTTCAAGATCATGAGTGTACAAAAAAAAAAAAAAAACTTTGGTGAAATATATGTTTTATTCTATCCCCTGTAATATATCCTCCTTTGATTTGAAAGATTTTTATGTATTGTTTTGTCTAATATCATTGAAAGATTTTTACTAGAAGACAAGCCATATGTTTCACAAATATGTTGAGTCATTGATCTTAACCATACACATTCTTGACTAGCCTCGTGAATTGCCATAATTTCAGCATGATTTAAGGAGGTGGTCGTTAGAGTCTGTTTCACTAATCGCCMTGATATAATAGTTTCTCCACATGTGAATAGATAACCTAATTGATATGTAGCTTTACGTGGATGAGATAAATATCTAGTTTTGCATAACCAACTAGCTAGAACAAAAATTGATTTGTTTTAGAATAAAACAAACTCATCTCAATTGTTTTTCAAAGATAATAGAGTATATGTTAACTCAATTCCAATGTTTTTTTATTTGAGAAGAGCTATATCTATCTAATAAATTTACTGAAAATGTTATATCTGGTATTATATTATTAGCAAGATATGGTACTTGAGAACCAAGAAATTCTTCATTATTTTCTCGAGGTTGAAATATATATTTTTTTTCAAGTTAAATGAACGAAATTCGATTGGAATATTCAATGGGTATGCTTTGTCCACATAGAACCTTTTAAAAAATTTTCCTTTATAAGTTTGACGATGAATAAATATCWCATCGCTCAATTTGTAAACCAAGATAAAATTTTACTTTCCTGAGATCTTTCATCTCAAATTCTTTCTTAAGATATTCTATTGCCTTTAAAGCTCTTTAAAGCTCCTCTGGAGTTCTCATCATATTCAAGTCATCACATACTTATAATAGCAAATCTTGACTGTAATTTCTCTATAAAAACACATGAATAAATTGTGTTATTTTGATATCCTTCTTTCACAAAATATCCACTTAGGCGATTGTATCACATTATCATGACATCTGTAACTTTATTGAATATAATTCCTGAGAACTTGAATTATATGTTTCGGGTACCTTAAATTCTTAAGGGATTTTCATATAAATATCATTATCAAGAGATCCATATAAATATGTTGTGACTACATCCATAAGATGCATGTCAAGGCTTTCATACACAATTAGGCCAATTAAATATCTCAGTGTAATTGCACCCACCAGTGGAGAATATGTCTTCTCATAATCAATATCAGATCTTTGCGAAAAACCTTGTGCAACTAGTCTTGCTTTATATCTTGTGGCCTCATTATTTTCATTTATTTTTCTTAAAATACCTATTTGTATCCCATAGACTTAAAATCTTCTTGTGTCCGGATTACTAGTCCAAAGACTTGACGTTTTAAAAATGAGTTTAATTCTTCCTAGATTGCTTTTCCACTTRAGTCAATCATTTCCCTGTTGACATTCTTGGATAGAGTTTCGTTTAGAATACTCATCCTCAGATAAAATGTCAAGAGCAACAACATTATAAGTAAAAATGTTGTCAATAACTACATTAGCTCGGTTCCATCTTTTTCTTGTAATTGATGGGATGTTAATCCCGCAACGGAACGATCTTGTTCTTGAATTTTCATAAACAAAAACCACAATACGAAAATGAAAAAACAAAGAAAAGAACAACTCACTTTTGAAGAACTTTTCTTCAAGAAATCACAAACCAACACGACAACCAAATCTTCCCAACTATTCTCTRGGTACGGAGGACTGCTTGTGGGAGCACTGGTTTATRAAATCAAAGAGAATTCTTTCAACTTGTTTTTAGAATGATCAAGGAAGGGAGCAATGCTTGGGAAGTTAAACTGTTTAYGTTTTTGCAGAAATACTACAAAATAGAAATGACGTGTGGTAACTCCCCACGTCGTAACCAACTTCCCACTCCCCTGCAATTATGCAGGGGTGTGTTTAAATATTAAATAAATTAATATTAATTATATTAATATTAATGATAATTAATATATATATCTATTATCTAAATAAATAATTAACATTTAATTATTTATTAACAAAATGGAATCATATTCTAAAGCATTTCTCTCATATAACCTATAATTGTAATGTACATCTTATGCACATTATTTTTATTCTATAGTTTTAATATGAATCCAATTCATATTAATTATTTGAATCCTATCCAAACATTTCTCTCATAATATATAGTATTAATTTTGAATTTTTATCCAAAATTAATATATTTATATATAATGTATCAATATACAATATATACAGTCCCTTATATAATTTGAACATTTCAAATTATTTCATAATTCTTGATCCTCGTTTTACCCGTTGTGAGCTTKCAAGGGGACCTAATGGACCTACAGATTAGAAACTTCAACGATATGAAATTAATTGGTCAAACTCATTAACAGAGTTAATCAATATTGGTTAACTACGGGTCACTCCACTAAAGACCCGCAATTGCACTCTTCTCAATGCAGAATATTTTCGTGTCCACAGATATACGACCATTGATGRCAAGTCAATAATTCACGAGTGCTCATAACTCAAGCTGAGTCAAATTACCATTTCACTCCTGAGTTACATATTACTCCTTAAATACCACTGATCCTCTAATGAACAACCCGATTATGGCACGACCAATAACCGAAAGTCCCTTTTGGGCCAGTAGAA